GGTAGCGGGATCCTGGTCCCAAATCAAATAGGTAAAATTAAGCCCACTGCAATTATAAGATTTATAAATAGTCTAAAATTGTCCTAGTTGGGCCTATAGGCGCACAATAGATCTTTTAGGTCGGGGTGCACAAATAGCCTATTTTAAATAATAAAATAATAATATACAGTAATATATATAAAATATAAGTAGTAATATATATATAATAAAAATAGTAATATATATACAATAATATATGTATATATATAAATTCACTTAATAAGAATCTTAATTTATACATTATAAGTAAAAACCAAAATTATTAACAATATTTTTTTTAGAAAAGTTCAGCTAATTGGACAATGATGACATCGTTACAGTTCTATTGGAACACTAAACCTAAAAGTGCCATCAGGTATTATTTCATTTCTTATTAAAAATTTTACTATTTCCATTTTAGAAAAAAACTGTACGTTTATAATAATAAATGATTAATAATTATAACAATTTTATTCTATAAATTTAGAGAACTGACATTAATGGCGTAAAAAATATATACGTATAATTTGCCATTAGTTTTTTTATAAAACTCAAGCCTCATTCAAAACTAGAATTACATTTTATCTACAGTTATTATCATTAAATATATCAGTTAAGCATGACAAATTACAATATATAAATTAAATAACATATATAGAAATATATATAGAGCGCAATATTATTGCACATGTTTATCAAAATTTCTACGACCATTCAATTAACTAAAAATATCTTATTTGCGTCAATACGCCTACGTATGCCCTTTTCGAATAAATCATAAAAAAGACAGTTAACTCACCCACATATGATGATGCCGAAACACTGTACTAAAGCTGGATAAAAGTTATTCATAGACACGGAAGGATCATGATTCGGTGGTTTTGTTGTAGTTTCCTCTGTAATTAATGAAATGAAAGTAGTCTCTTCCATGCCAACGTCAGACATAAAGTCGGCCTCCGTATTTGCATAGACCATAGCAGCATCCATTTTGTCAAAACTATTTTAACTTACTATAGTTAATTTAAATTTAAGCAAAAAAATGCTTTTATTTTGTATTTATTTTAATAAATTTTGTTACTTAGAGTTCATTGTTTTTTTTTTTTTTGCAGTTTAGAAATGTTGCTAAGCAGATTAAGAATTATCACATTTCAACTATATTCAATTTACAAACATTAAACAAATCATCTCTTTACAATAAACGCATGTTTTAATTAAAGATTATTTTTTATTTATATTAATATAAAATGGAAAGTTTATTTACAAACAAATAAGAAAAAATTTTTTGACCTTGTGCCAGACACAATAACACATATATTTCGTTAATTTTACACAACTCTAATTTATCACAATAACTGTAAAATACTTTATTATAATATTGCACTCATTTACTTTTATTATCATTTTACATATTTAACATTTTTGCTGCATTAAAAGCTTGCCTTATGCATAAGTAATAATCGACCGCTCGTACAAACTGATTGTTATAGAATGACAGTTTGGTTGTTGCATTTTTTTATAAATACCATATAGGGTTGCAACATAAAAAAATAGTAGTATAAAAAATTTTGTCGTATGAAATCAGTAAAGCAGAAAATTATTATAATTATACGCTATTTCCAATTTACGTAAATGTCACTTTTTTGGAATTCTCAGAGAATTATTAAATAAAACAAAATTTTAATAATTTGTACGTCATTTGATAATGAAAACATGATACATATATTAATTATATTTATTAATTTTAGACCATATATTTATCATGTACCTTATACTTGTATGTTTTTATAAATTTAACACATATAAATTTAATTTACAAAAAATGGCAACAAAAAAAACTAAATACATATACTTTCAAAATATACAAAAAACGAAAATAAAATGAAGCAGTTATTTTATTTTATGGTATGTTAAGTTTTATTATTATCAAAGCACATTTTTATACGAATTTTGTGTGTAAATATACCGTTACAGTTATTGTTAGACATTATAACTTAATGTCAAAAAGATGAAACAAAAATATCAAAAAGATAAATATAGGGTGAAATTATAGATCGCTAAATGTTACTGTAACACAAGTATAATATGAATACCAATAAATTTTTTGTAGAAATTTCATATATATTTCTTTATAGTTTTACGCACTTTACTCAAACTAAAGAATACATTTTATTTAAATTCATAAATTCATTTAAATTTATTGGCGAGTTATTAGAAATATAATTAAAGACATTATTTTAGATTTTTATTTAATACAAAATAATTTACTAGTAACAATGTTATACTGCGTTTACACTGCCACTTTTAACTAATTTTTGGCATATATATATATATAACGAAAAGAGTATAGAAATTACACTTACTATTTACTCGTACACTTCATGTATTATTGAAGAGCATTTAATTGAAACATGAAATATTATTTAATCTGTGACAAATACAAAAGAAAATAAATTTTCAAAATAAACCGAATTTAAAACAAACAAATTGTAAACATAAATGCAAAAGCGAATGATTTTATACGATTCAATTGTGGAAAATAAATATTATAAATATTTATAAATACATACAAACAAAAATACAATAATTTTTCGGAGTATGTGAAAAAAGTATAATTTAAAAGCGATTCAAAATTTTTAACATATTAGTTGTCAACAAGTTTATACCTATTAAGGTATAAATATTCTGAATTTTAAATTTTGTAATAAAAGGAAATTTCAAAATTTCCTGCATTCTGAATATTGAATTTAGTTCATTATTAATATTAATCTTAATTTTTCATTTTAGTTTTATTATTAATTTTAATACAAAATGTAATTTGTTTGCTTTACATGCACATACCTTAAGTTAATTTATATGAGCCTGCTATTAATTTCGCTGTAAGCTATGTACTAATCTACAAAAATGCGTTTATGCGTAATCGACTCAGTCAATCTCGCCTATTGAGTTTTCATCAGAAAGAATTAACTATGGCCGCGGTGTTCCGCTCCGTTGGGAACTGGTACCCTGTTAATTTCTATAGACAACACAAATATTACAATTTTTTACTAATTCTATATATTTATTATTTTATTTTTTTATGATGTACCAACATAACATGCATTAGCGTGACGCATGAATTCCCGTTGCCTTCAATTATTTAAGCTTATTTCACTTTTAGTAAGTGTTGGCAACTCAAAATGTATAGAAAATAAAACCAATAGTGGCTTTGGCACCACTTTTAACCAACAGAACAATTGTACAGTTTGAGTGCCATAGAAGCAGTATATGTCAAAACAATAGAAATTAGTCATCCAAAATTATTTTTCGTGAAAACGTAATAACAAAATAAATAGCTACAATTTTCGACACTAAAAATTTCATTTAATCAAAACTTAAAACGTATATAAAAATACATAAAAATGAATCGTCTATTTGGTAAAGGCAAGCAAAAGGAACCACCACCGAATCTCAATGACTGCATTGCTGGTGTAAGTAAAAATTTTTTTTATCGGAAAGCAAATATTTCATCTATTTTGCATATATAGGTGGATTCGAGAGCTAAATCTATTGAAGAAAAGATTGCAAAACTTGAAGCTGAGCTACGTAAGTATCGCGATCAAATGTCAAAGATGCGTGAGGGACCAGCAAAAAATTCGGTCAAACAAAAAGCTATGCGCGTATTAAAGCAGAAAAAAGCGTAAGTGAAAAATGAGAAATATATTTTTTGTATTCAATTATCAATAGATATTATTTAGTTATGAACAACAAGCTGAGTCTTTGCACAATCAATCATTTAATATGGAACAAGCCAATTATGCAGCACAATCTCTTAAGGACACACAAAATACCGTGGCTGCAATGAAAGATGCAAACAAAGTTATGCAGAAAGAGTTTAAGAAAATCAATATCGATCAAATTGAAGTATGTTCAAATTATAATTTTAATATTAATTGTAACTTTAATAATAAAAATTATTATATGTGCTTATTTTAGGATATACATGATGATATGGCTGATATGTTAGAACAAGCTGACGATGTGCAGGAAGCATTGGGACGCACTTACGGTATGCCTGAAGTTGATGATGATGAGCTTGAAGCCGAATTAGATGCTTTAGGTGATGAGATTGCTTTAGACGATGACACCAGCTATTTAGATGATATGGTTAAAGCGCCGTCTGCACCAGATAAGGAACCTGGTGCAGATAGCATTGTGCCAGGAAAGGTGAGTAATATTGATATGTATATAAAACGAATTTATTTAGAATTATTTTTCTTTTCATAGAATCAAATTGAAACTGATGAGTTTGGACTTCCTAAAATACCAACTTCTCTAAAAACCTCATAAACAATTTCAAAATTATTTGCTTATATATTGAATATAATATTTATAAAAATTTAAAAGTTTACACTCAGAAAAGCATTTTTCACTTAAATAAAATTGTTACTAACTCAATTATTGCTATTTATTATAATTTATTAGAGAGACTTCGAAAAGTGCTGAACTACAACAAAATTTAATTTTTATATCATTTTAATTATTTGAGGAGAAGAATACTAACATATGCCGGAAGCTTCCATACTGGTTTCATGTTAGAATATTTTTAAACTTCTTTCGAAGAGCTGAGCGTCTAATGTTTAGTTAGGGTTGGGTAGCAGTACTAAAGGCTTCAAATGATGTTGTTGTAGGCCACTGGGACCTGTAAGTAGATAAAGTTGACTGGGATTTTATTAAACATTGACCTAAGTCCAGACGATGAAACCTGGTGTAAAGAAACTAATCTTACCATAATTATGAGAAAATTGAAATTGTCATGGAAGTCATGAATAGTACTATTAATGTGAGAAAATTTTTCTGGATATCAACTTAGCTGCTACACGATCACGTTTTTGGTACCTTTTGCAACTCACTTAAACGTTGCAATGAAAGTTTTCATCACAACTTCACAGCAAGTGTTTAACAAGTACAAATACTTGTCAATCACTTGATCGTGTAGAGGCTACACGTTTGCGTTTTTTTTTTATATTTATAAAGATTGTTTGAGCAGCAGTTATGATCACTCAAGATCTTATGCAAAGATAATCACTACACTGAGAATAATACAACAGAAACATTATATAAATATTGAAGTTATTACGAGAGGAATATAGTGCACAGCTAGTACTTATAGTTTCTGATTTTTAAGTCATCTTGATAAATGGCCGTTTTCAAATTTACTCTAATAAATAAAAAATATATATTTTTTTTCAGTATATAATTAAAAATTCTGTGTTAAAGTTATTATTTTCATTTTATTGATGATCATAATATAATAATACATAATACCAGACATATATTAATTTGATAGATCTACCAATAGTAACATTTATCATATATACCCTATAATCATAAAAAAGCGTAAAGTATATAAAACGTTAAAAAAAATATTTTGCATAAGTTTTTTTTAAATTAAAAGCAAATTTATCTTTTTATAAACTTAATAAATATTAAACATATATGTTTCAAACGTATATGTTATACGCATGTACATATATCAGTAAAACTTTATGCGAGGATTACATTTGAATAGCTTGTGCTAAATTATTTAAAATTATAATATGTTAAATGCTAGTGAAAAAAAAATAATTTAAAATTAGTTATTAATTAAAATGAAAGTTTACAACTAGTAATGCTGTTGTTGTGATTAATTTAAACAAAGACACATAATTATTTATATATACTTATATATAATAATCGAAATTAATCAAATATACAAATAATTTATTTCTTATATGTAAAATCACCAAAAGTATTAGTTATATGTGTCTATTAAAAAATATATATAAACAATTTTGATAATATTTTTAATGAATCATTTTTAAATAATTTTTATACATGCTAAATAAATTGATTAAAATTTTATTAATTATATTAAATTATTTACGTATCAACATACAAAAATACATATTTTATCAGTTCAATTCTACACTACACCTAATTATAAGATTTTATGGCCTGTAGTTATTTCAATGATATCAAGAAACTGATATTTTTTAAAAAAGATCATTTTTTAAAATCAATATATTATTATGTTAATGTTATAATGTTATTAACGAATGGCAACTAAATTTAATAATAAATTTGTTTTTAACTTTTTTTATAATTAAACAATAGAATAAAATTTGTATTTGTGAAAAGTTTTGTAGTTAATTAATTAATAATTCATATATCTTAATTAATAATCATATATCTAACTATATTCTATTCTCTTAGCCTGAGCTTGACTAAGTTTATATATTATTGTTTGTTCACAAAATTATTCCACATCGTTTGCGATAGAGATATATTGTAACACAAGTCATAAGAAATCTTACTCAGGTATACACGAGGATTCAAAAATATCCAGTACCGCTACTCCACCGTATTTGCAGATATGAGATATACTGGTTTCTATTGTTGTAATGATTTAAGTCTCACTCGGTGTTTACACTGGTTAGATTTTGGCAAAACTTGTATGTTCGGATGCAAATACGTATTATTTTCGAATTTTTTTACTAATAAAATTTTTTATGAATTAGTGAAAAAGAATAAAAGTCTTACCAAAGTCTAACCAGGATACTTTTCATCCACTTAAGAGAATTTACAAAACATATATAAATAAGAAGAATAAGGGAATAAATAAAAGTCTTACCAAAGTCTAACCAGGATGAAAAGTAAGCACATAAGAGAATTGACAAAACATATATAAATAAGAAGAATAAGGGAGACTGGGGTGAGAATAAAGAAGAGCTATTATTAGTGTGAGTATTTAACTTAGTCTGGGAACAGATCAAAGAGTCTCTCCACCTTAATTGATCATATATGAATATAGCTTAAGTTTGTGTAAGCATTTGGGGCAAAAACAAAAACCGATAATTGGCATTGTGAGTGGTATATAAGCAATTAGAGCACAAATCGGAGATGTAAGTAAATGTTTAGCACTTGGATATACCCTGTATTAGACTAGAATATTTCACATTGCATAAGGGAGAGGTGTTTTATCTCACAAAATTTAAGTAAGAGCCCTGTTCAAAACCTTGTTTTGATACAAAATTGATCACGAAATACTGATTTTGGTCGGATATGATTTGGAGGGCTGAAAACTCTTATCTTTTATCGATTTAACTGATGTTGTTTCTATTGTTGTAAGATTCTATACATTCATGATACGAAGAAAAGGATCGACGTCTGCAATATAAAGGGAAGATTTAATTATTATGGCATTGGAGACGGTATTTTATGGCCAGAGGAAACTTGTTCTTATATAAATGTGGTTTAGAAGAGGATACTACCTCGATATGAAGCCTTTAAAACTTTGTTCTATATGCGACCTTTTGCGGTAAGCTTCGATATATAATAATACGAAGAAAAAGATCGACGTAGGAAAATCGAAGGGAACGCTTTACTCATTTGTAGCAATATTTGGATGTATGTATCTATGCCACGATAGAAGAAATTATGTTAACAACAACTGGTTGTGGATTATTTTGATCATATCGCACAATGAACACTAACCAGTACTGCCTGCGCGACGATCCCTTGTAAGCATTTTTCATCACAAATATAGGCGAGTAGCGTTGTTGGATGCTCGTGTGCACCGGAATTAAAGCTTTTCGTACAATGACTAAGTTAAAAAAGATAAATATATTAATTTAGAATATTAAAATACATTTAAGAATCATTATTAATAAGCAATTAATTTGTATGAATTTGCACTGATATTATGAATACTAATTTTAATATAAATTTTAGTGATCTATTATCATTAAATTACATTTAGGATATTTTCGTGATACTTCAGTAATTATCTTTATAAAAAATTCTTTACATAAAAATTTTGTTACATTTTTGTAGTTATAATTAATTGTGATGCAGTATGATTCCGATGGATTACAGATATACATATATAGAAGGTATTGACATTTACATTTTGAAAATGAAAAAAAAAATAATGTTTATAGCATAATAACATAAAGAGGACGCATATAAATCAAATCACAGTATTTAAAATTCTTAAAATTACTTAAAGCAATTATACTTAAAAAATGGGAGTCTTGAAAAATCAGACCTGTGCTAAGTGTAAAATAAAGATAAAAACAAAAAATAGAAAACTTAAAATTATTTTAAAAAATTTTGTTCTTATAATTTTATTAATAATATTTTAGACGTATTCACACTAATTTCCGAGTACTTCACATCTGATAAAAGCAGTTAGGAAATCATTTTCTATGTTATAAGAATAGTAAAACTGTCATATATATAAAATAGCGCTTTATAGTTTTACGATGAGAATATTCGAATTCGAATATTTGGGCAAAGTCGTGAGTTTTATTTAATTTTTTTTTTATTTAAATAAAATTCATATAACAACAAACACTCAAACACAATATCAGGTTCAAAAATTGTTGAGCAGCTCACTGTCTTCGACACATGGTGGATTAATGTTCGAAACTTCGAATATCTAATACAAAAATAAAATTAGTTATATATAACCAATGCACGTTAAACAATTACACATCTACACTATATTTCAAAAATCATGTCGTTTGTTATCTAAATTATTGACTGTAATGCAAGGACTTCACACCGGAACTAATCCGTAAATCGAAAAAAAAGCAATATTTATTTATGGTGTAGTGAAAAATGTAACTAAACCGATGTAAAGTTTTTTTAATTCAATCCGAATGAATATATACATGATTATGACTTTATATATAGTGTTTACTTTTACAGTAGCTTATACTGTTTTATAAATATTTTTTGAGAAATAATTTTTGATCTTAAAAACAAATAAAATTCTTAAATTTCATTGCTAGAAGCTATATCTTACTTGGCGTTTACACTGGGTAACCTTTGACAAGATTTTTCTGTTCGAATACAAATAGTATTATTTTTTTTCGAATTTTTTAATATTATTTTCGAATTTTACTTGCTAACAAAAAATCTTACCGAAGTCGTGTCAGTGTAGACTCAGTGCAATAATATTTAAGGTAATCAATAATTACTTGGTAATTAGAAATTTTATCTATATTTAATCTAAAACATTTTAAAAAATTTACTATCGCAATTTGTTAAGTACACTTAAACTCTGATAAGACCTTACTTACTCACTACATTTAGGTTAAACAAGTGATTCTTTTCATTCTAAAATAAATAAATAACCGAAATTAGAATCTAATAAACCCATATAATTTGATAGCTAAAATATTTGGAAATAGTGTGAATACGTCTTGTTTGAATACTTATAAAATTGTAAAGTCGGTTACCTTACCCGATGTGCATGTCACATATATTCAAATGCATTCATTTAGCAAAAATGAACTACTCTAGCCGTTTTCAAACTTACTCTAAACGCAGTTGGAGTTTTTGCGCAAACGTAAAAGCTTAAAATATTTATTAGGTGGCCTACAGCGATTACTTACATTTGCCACAAAAGCGTAAGCATCAAGTAAGCTGTCGTCCTTTAGCTCATGTTGTGTTATGCTGCCTTTAAAGCTGCACCATTCTGTAGCACGGTTATAACTAAAGAGTGGCTGATGCACACGTGGTATATTCAATTTCTCAGCACACATTCCAGTCAAATAAACATCTTCTAAATATATAAAAGATGTATTCAGTGACATATCATATAGACGTGGCACGACATCCATGCTCATCATATAACCAGCGCCAGAAAGATAACGTGGATATTTATCCTCTGGGTACATATAGTATGGCATATACCATTTACTGGTTATATTTGCAATCGGGCGGCTTGTGCAAAACAGATGACCCGTTAAATAGTTATTTGTTTTATTTAAACGATTTCTAGCTGAAAGTACTTCATAACTTTTTAAATCATGCATATCTAAAGTGTTATTATAAAGCGGAATAGTGCCGCCCAATAGGAAATGTATTAAATTGGGTACGTGCACGAAGGTATCATCGTCACTCTTCATGAAGAATGCAACTTTACCTAGGCAATGTTTAGTTATCCATTTCAGTGCCATAACAGATTTAAGAGTTAAATTATTATAGGTGTCTGTAAAATCCTCTTGTATGATATCTTGGTATTGTTGGGCTTCTTTGTGTATTAGTGCATTAACAGTTTCGTTGCCAATCATAATGTCAGGTTCGTTGCGACCCACAAGAAAAACAACTTTTATGGGCACTGTATCAGGCATTATTGTGTCCTATAAATAACAAAATTCGTTATATATAAAGATAATAACAATTATAACTGAATTTATTACATTTTTATCAATTTTTAAAAATTCGCTGTAATATTTGATGCGTTCAATCGTTGGATTCAGGTAATTTTTATTAAGGTGTGCATGCATCTCGGAGAACTTGTCGTAGTTGAACTGTGTTGTATTTCCCCAAGTTTCACGTATGATTTGACTAAAAATATAACTATCATTAGCAATATTCGTATATTAAAAAAAAACATTTAGTTATAATAATTATAAACAATTATTACTTAACGTAATGACATAAATACTGCTTTGGGTTGATAATGTAATAAATGTCGGAAACGATTTATCAAATGTAATTTGATAACAATATTAAATACATATATCAGTAAGTTGTTATTTTATGTTTTAATAGATAAATTATACACCATTTAAAAAGCTGCAACCCTTGCATGTGTTAACATACAATATACATATATGAACGTATATTGCAAAGCGCTTATCTTTGATATAATCCAGTATATCTCAATCAACTTACCGTGTTGCAAAATTCTGTACGCTCGAGCAAACAACAATTAAAATAAAAATTTTCTCATGGCATAAGTTGTGGGGTTCGATTATAGTTGTGTTCGTATCAGGCAGCACATAGTCTGGCATATGCCGGGATGTATTTAAACTCCAACCGGGCAGAGGAGCTGAAAAAGTGAAATGTTCAATAATTTTATTATAATAAAGCGTATCTACAATATGGCTTACCACTACGGCTATGTACATCAGAATACAATGGTAGATATAAAATGAAGAGAAATGTTGGCAAAAGAAGCGTCCATAAGACTATACGCCCAATGCGTCGCGCACCACGATGTATTTGGTGTCGTCGTCGTCTGGACGAGCTTTGTTTCAATTTACTTGTCGGTTCTAATTTCACCTTCATTCTGTATGCTCTTTCATGTTGATCATCATCGTCTTCACTGTCGCTACTGGATGAATTGATATAAGTTACGGAAGCTGGGTTTGCAGGGGTTGCGCTTTTTTGTTTGAGCAGAAATTGTGTTTCCTGTTTTTGAGAAGGCATTTTTCATCTTGTGAATTATGAATTCCTGCTGATTCTATTTATATTTTTATGTGAATATTTGTCATCGGGGCAGCGTCCATTGACCTTGGCTTGCATTTAAAATGCATGTTTTATTTTTTACACTGTCTTCATTTAATTTATATATTTATGGACATTATTGTAATTTTATCAATCAAATTACATTTAATGGATTTTAGAATTATACAAGTTTCCAATAATACATTTTAATTGAATTGTTATTCCATTTCCATATTCGGTAAAAATTTTGCTACCATGAAATTAATTAATTATCACGTGTTCTACATAACTATATAACTATAAAAGAATATTAACGAAAATTTCTGTTATCAGCGTAAAATTTGATTTATTTGAAAATAATTTCCCTGCTTTGCAAATAAGACAATCACAAATCCACCGATAAACGCAACTGATTGGAATTGCAATAAACAAAATTAA